CTCTACCAAAGTCTCCTTCTTTGTATAGAGAAAAGAATTCCTTGTGAGAGGTTGCATGGTATGATGCTGCTGAGTCAATGACCCATTCAACACATGAATCAGCAACATGACACTCTTCTTCTTCAACAGAGAGCAACACCACTTCCCCATTGATCACAGGGGTTGCGGTATTTTCACCATTCTCTGTTTTGTTGTTTCTCCAACCTTTGTTTTTCCAGGCTTTGCAGTTTCTTTTGATATGCCCTTCTTCACCGCAGTGATAACACTTGAATTTTCTCATGGGTTGAGATTGTGATTTATCTCTGGTTTTGCTATTCCGGCCTCTGCTTTTACTTCTCCCCCTGGTTTCTGTGACCAGGGCTTGGGAACTGCTTGCCCCAGAGTCTTTTCTTCTTGTTTCTTCATTGAACATACTGTCTTTGACTTGGGTCAAAGTCAGTTTTCCCTCCGGAGCAGAGTTGCTCAATGAGACCACCAGAGTCTCCCAGCTATCCGGTAAAGAACTCAAAAGTAACAGCGGCTGCAGCTCTTCATCAAGTTTCATCTCCATGGTAACAAGTTGGTTCACCATGTCTTGAAACTCATTCAAGTGTTCTGCAACTGATCTTCCATCCCGATATTTTAAATTTACAAGCTTTCTAATGACGAAAGCTTTATTCTGTGCAGTCTTCCTCTGGTACATATGTTCAATTTTGTTCCACAGAGTATGGGCTTTCGACTCTGTGGCAACATGGTGGAATATGCTGATATCCACCCACTGTCGGATTAAACTGACAGCCTTCCTGTGTAACTTTTTCCAATCGTCATCCTTCATGTCATCTGGCTTGTTGTCTCTCTTTTCTACAGGATCGTACAGATCTTTGTAGTATGTCCTCCATTTTTGGTTTCCAAATGGAGTAATTTGTTGCTGTGAGCTTCACCATGGTACCCACGTTCTCCTCCATTTAATTTACACGGGTCGATACAGAGCCCAATCTGTCTCTGATACCACTTGTTGGGCTCAGATGCACAATGCGGAAGATGTAAATTAAAATATCAAAGTAAAATGGTGAACAATAATCCCGATCACAGCAACTCAAGAATGACAAAAGAAAAATAATCTCTTGCAATAATACCGGAATAATTCTTTTCTGATGTGGAAGTTCAGATTAAACTGCGACCACAGAGCATACTAAGAATATCCCAAATAAATAAAATATGCAAGAAATAAGACACCAAGATTTAACGTGGAAAACCTCCAAATAGAGGAAAAACCACGGGACAACCTCCGAACAATTCCACTATATTTTCAAGATAATTACAATATCTTTTCACACTCCCTTACACTAGAAATGTAAAATATAGTGACCCAATGAGAACCCCACTCTTAAACAAAGAGTAATAGAGTTGATACCCAACCCGGTGTATTTTTCCCACACCCACAGGATTTACTCAAACACTCTATTTTTATCTCACTGAAAAATAACACACACAGAAATATTTTTTCTGTACTCTCCTGCTCTCTCTTTTTTCTTCCTCTCTTGGTGCATTTTCCTCTGCTGAATACCCTCTCTATTTATAGAGAGGTTTGAGCAATGCGTACAAAAATACTTTCGGCTGCAGCTTTCCTTCCACTTTCTTTTGGCACAATAACCAAGGATTATTAAATGCCCATGCCACCATAATTTTGCTCAACATTTTGATTCCTTTTTCTTTTGTTTTCTTGTTGGGCTGGACCCCACAATTTTTTACGGTAATTGTGTGAAGCTCACAGACACACTTTACATTTTTCTTTAAAAAAAATGAAATTTACAGTGTTGATTATTGTACGGAGGGTGTGTCGTATGAAATTTGAACGGACGTAATTGTATGCTTGGGCTCGAAATCCCCATCATGTTTCAGAAGAAGAGCGGCGATTTTAATTGAAGATTGACTAAGATTATATTTGGTAAACTTAATTCATAAACTAGTTTATAATTTTTGAGTGAATTTCGAGTTTATAAATAGTTGTTAACTTATGACTTATGGTTGAAAATCTAGCTTATATGATAAAAGTGTTTGGTAAAATTAGTTGAAATAAAACGTGTTTATTTGAAAAGTTACTTAAGGAAGTTTATGAGATAAGTCTGAGTTTCTTAAAAAAAAAAAAAAAAGTAGTCCTGTCAAACTAAACCTATTTGGATACATAAAACTTATAAGCTAATCAAATAAACTATAAGATAATTTATACGCTTAGTTGCTTACCAAACACGGATTAAGTAACACAAATGTATGTTTGGATTCGAAATCCCTATTATAATGTTTCAAAACGGTGATTTTAATTGATGATAGACAAGTAGAATTGGGTTCATATTTTCCTTTTAGCTTTTTTATCATTTTATATACACATCTAAGAAATATTAAAATTTCTCGGTTATATTATTCAAATTTAGGCAGGAAAAATCTTAGAAACATTATTGACGCGGAGATTATTCTTTGTAAACTCACGTGGTCGCATGATTTGATGCCCCAACCTAACATCCATTGACATATTCTTCCTCGAAGCCAACAATTTTAAGGAATTGTATGTGCGGTTTTGCTATGAAGCCAACAGATGGCTCCATAGTGAAGTCAACCTTCTATATACAACAAGTAAACCTACCATATTAATAAAATTATATTAGTGTTATTTAATTAATCAAAGAATATGGTAGGTTTATTTGTTGTATATAGAATGTTGACTCCATTATGGAGCAAACTGTTAGCCTCATAGCAAAACCGACTGTATGTAATAATAAATAAAGGTAATAATAAAAAAACTTTCCACAAAGGCCACTTTCATATGGACTTTCCCCTTCATTTCATCAAAGTCCCCCCAAAAACGCGTTTATACTTAGGCTTAAAATATTGATTTTTCAAACTCTTTTCATAGCTGTATAAAACCACAAATGGAACTTTAACCAAATTTCCCCTGTTTCTCTTGGTTTGGCCACAGCCACAACACCCTTCACTCATTGGCCCTTCTCTTTTCTACTCCTCCCTTATAAACTCTCAAACCACACAACTTCTAAAAAAATCTCTCCAAAAAAAAAAAAAAAAAAAAAAAAGAACAATGAATTTTCTCATCAACAAACACTTGTTCTCTTCAATAATGTTGTTATTGTTGTTGTTGTTGTTGTTACCTTTCCTCGCCTTGTCTCGAAATTCCCCTCCGACCACCACCGTACCCTCGCAGTACACCGAAGCTCCCGTATACCTAAACGGGGAGCAATGCAGTAATCCTACGGTCAATGGCCCACGCTCTTACTGCGACCCATCGCTAGTCCACGTGGCAATGACCCTCGATTCCCGTTACCTTAGGGGATCTATAGCCTCCGTCCACTCGGTCCTCAAACACACGTCGTGCCCCGAAAACGTGCGCTTCCATTTCATCACGGCCCGTTCGGCTTCATCCCAACTAGCCAAGGTCATGAAGTCCACATTTCCATATCTACCCTTCAAGATCCACCCTTTCAACAAGGGTAGAAAAGTCGAGCACTTGATCTCACACTCCATTCGCCCGGCCCTCGAGAACCCTCTAAATTACGCGAGAATCTACCTCGCGGAGATTCTCGACTCGTGCATCGCACGGGTCGTGTACTTAGATTCTGACACGATCTTAGTCGACGACATTCGAAACCTATGGTCGACTGAGTTAACCGGGTCGAGGGCGATCGGGGCTCCCGAGTATTGCCACGCGAACTTCACGAGCTACTTCAACGAAAACTTCTGGGCCGACCCATTTTTATCCGGAGCATTTCGAGGAAAAAAACCGTGTTATTTCAACACGGGAGTGATGGTCGTGGATTTGGAGAGATGGAGGGAAGGAGAGTACACGAGGAAAGTCGAGGGGTGGATGGAAGTGCAGAAGCAGAGGAGGATATACGAGCTCGGGTCCTTGCCGCCTTTTTTGCTCGTTTTTGGTGGGGAAATAGAAGGGATTGATCATAGGTGGAACCAACATGGTCTAGGTGGGGATAATGTAGTGAATAGCTGCCGGAGCTTGCATCCGGGTCGGGTCAGTTTGCTGCATTGGAGCGGAAAAGGGAAGCCGTGGGTAAGGCTCGACGAGGGGAGGCCTTGCCCGGTGGACTATCTGTGGGTACCTTATGATCTGTATAGATTTAATAGATTTACAGAGTAGAGATGTCAAGTATATGAATTTTTACCAGATTCATATTGATTGTTTTGTAGAAAAAAAGCAAATACTGTAAAATAGACTTATTTTTGCAAGTAATTGCTCTGGATTTTCTCATATACTGTGTTTATTTCTCTCATTTTGGGAAAATGCACTGAAAATTCAAATAAAAAAACTCCCTACATATAACGAATTTGGAAGTGTTGAGACGAGCAAAACAAACGATAACAACAAATTCGATACCTGTCGACACAATGGACTTGCAGGAACATATGATAAGGTGCTGAAAACTGCTTTTATGCACCATAAACTTGTAGTTGCAGACAAAATCAGGCAAAATCCTTCTGAACTTTGTTTATTTAACTGACACTTGCAGATAAAAAGAAGGGGGATATAAAAATTAAAGCTTTACCTGATAACCACTTGTATAGTTTTATTATCAAACTGTTTCATATATATACTACTATTGTGTAGTTTCATTTGTTTAAATCTTGTATTCTCCACATGGGCCTATGTTATATTACATATCTGCATAATACAGTCCTCAAAATCAACATCTACCAAGCAGTATAAGTGAAGTATTATGTGTATGTTTGCTTGTAGAAGTAAATGAAAGGTTAAACTAACTACAACATCAACATTTGACATCAATAATCAAAGATAACATATATCAAGAAACTAGAGAAGACTTATCAATAAAAAAGCAAGAAAATTGAAGAAACTTGAACCAAAAAGATCTCCCAAAACCACAACTTTCTGCCATTTTCCGTATCCTTTTCAAAAAGACGCTAGAAACAAAAAAGCCAACATAAAAAAAGTGAAAAAGCGAAAGGAACTATCGAAGAACGAACTTATCTCCAACACACTATCCAACTTCAAGAAAGCAAACGCTAGACTTTACAGGTTTGCACATGGTAAAAGCCAACGCATTCCGGTAGCTCCATTTTCTCCATTTCCTGCGTGACAAGGTTATAAATCAAAATTGTATTCTTCCTCGTATCAGCACAGAGGACCAATAACTCCAAATACTTAACCCACCCAACAATTTTTATGGCCCCATCACAACTTGCAGAAGACTCGAATTCGCTCTTGTGTTCCTCTAACGAAAAATCCCCCGTCATTTTCCACTCAAAATTGCGCGTATCCATTTCCCAAATCTCCCAATAAAACTCCCAACACCTACGCAATAACGTTAAACTCCTTCCCGTCGATAAATAAGTATTGCTAACATCCCCTCTCTGGCCACCCGGGCCAAAAGTGTAGTTGGGCCCTGGGCTTTCCGTGAAAACCTCCGTCTCGATATTCATACTCAATACCTTCCCGTCATTTAGGCTCCAATGAACAAACCCTTCGGTAATCAGAGCACGACTAAATTGCGATAACTTAGCCGCAAACTCCACGACTCTCCACGACTCGTCATTTACTCCGACGGTTATTATATGAAACTCGTCCTTATCTTTGTTTTCATACCCATCGGGCGGAAAGAATAGAATCACTTTCCACACCTTTGAGAGCGGAGCAAACGCCACTCCCCACGAGACCATTTGTGGCTTTAGAGAACGATTCACGAGCGGAGGGAAATTAATCGTATTTAGTCCACCTGTCGAGTGATGATGTAAGAAAAGGGAGACTTCCTTAAACTTCCCTCCGGAAAAAGCTAAACACATGTCCAAAGAAGGAGTCGAGGCCGCACTCGTGCGTTGGATCCTCAGCTTGGATGACTCGACTCGGAAGTCTCGGGTGGCCATCGAGAATGCGGTTTGGGCCGTCATGAAGACGAGCGCGTACGTGTTGAGGCTGCGGGCACGGCACCATCTGTGGCAAACGAGCCGAGCGTTGTAAATGTCGTGGGTTGGGATTAGGTCGAAGATTTTGGACAACAAGTCGTCTGACAACTTGTCGTTTGACAGAACCATATTGATGTTATTGCCACCATTCATCTAGACATTTTTAGTTCAAGGAAAAGTTCAGTAAACATAAACAACATTATATTATAACTTTCTCAAAGGGTGAGCAACAGTGACGGTCGAACTGCAAAAAAGCCAAAACACCAAACCTACCAAAAAAATAATTGAACCGCACCGCAACTTATGAAATAACAGAACCCAATTTTTTTAGACTATAATAACGGAACCGAACCAAACTACACTAAAATGCACGGTTTGGCTCGGTTTTTCGATTTTGACTTGGTTTTTCTAGACATTTATATTTAATATGGTGCGGTTAGGTGCAAAAACCGTATCTAACTGAACAAAATCGAAAACCAAACCTGTGAGAAATAATAACCGAACTGCACCGTAGTGTTGGAAGCTGAACCGAAACGAATATTTTTCACATTATAAAAACCGAACGGACAGCGAATTGCACGGTTCAGCTCGGTTTTTTTTGGCTCACATCAACATAAGACTATTGTGTAAAACTACCTAACAATTAAGCTAGTCAAACCCCTCAATGGGTAAAATCAAATTATTCGGCCTTTAACGGACATTAATTAGCAGAAGCCACAACTGATAATTTGTTTGAGTACTGCATAATTCAAGTCAATGTCCAAAATCTTACAGATATTATATCGAACCTGTTCTTCGCCGGAATCTGATCGGAGAACTCGTGCTTTTGTTTCTTCTCTCGTGACGGCCATTGATGGCGGCGGTCGGAAGATTGATGCGAGAAATATGGTTTCAATTAATTGAGATGGCCCTATATTTTTTATTCAATCAAAATCAACCAACTACAACTATTTTAGGATTCCTATAATAATATCCCTAATCTATATCACTATCAGCGAACTACAGACTTTCGTTGAGCATGTGGAAAGGGGTGGTTTATTTATTTAAAAAAAAAAATAACTGGACAAAAAAAAAAAAAAAAATAATAAGTGGGCCAAAGTTAAACATATGTATTCTTGGAATACGATTTTTTAAAAAAAATTAAATAAAAAAAGTATTCCGAGAATACGTCTTATAAGTATTTTTTAAAATTAAAAAAAAAATCCGTAAAATTTCAAATATTAAAAAAAAATCTAAAATGTATTTTTATAACACGTATTGTCAAAATACGTTTTTCTTAAAACGTATTTTAAAAATACGTTTAAATTGAAAAAATACTTCTGAATAAAAAATAATATTAAATTAAAACGTATTCTGAGAATACTTACAATTAAATTGTCGGTAAACGTATTTTCATAATACATTTTTTTAGTTAAATATAAAAAAAATCACATCCTCTCCATTTTATTTACGCGAAAATCAGAGAGCAGAGGTGGAGAAATAGAGCAGAAGCGAGCGAAAACAATCGAAAAAAAAAAAAAAAAACTCGATCCAATCCTCATCCCGGTGTGAACCGACAACACCGATACAACCCTCATTTTCGGTTAATTAATTCGCACCAGATATATTGGTTTATCTTAACTTTTACATTGTTTGGAGCTGTTTGAAGATTGAGGATTGTTATAATATGTTTGAATGTGGTGGTGTTGTTTGATTGAAAATTGTTAATTAATTATCGATTATGTGTGTATGTTGAACTGAGGATTGGAATTTTCTGTGTAAATTGTCAATTGTGTATTATTTGGTTGTTGTTGGGGTTAGGGTTTTTCAAATTAGGGTTAGAATTAGGGCTTTTAATTTATCCGAATTATAGATGAATTTTATGTTATTGTTTGATTATGAGTATTAGGTTTTGGAGGATTATTTGGTTGGGACTTTTTTTTTCTTTGGTTGGAGTAAAAAATTGAGTTTTAAATTTGAGACATTATGTGTTGTTGTAATTGGAAAGAATTGAAAGTGTTTTTTGCAAAAGGTATAAAACGGCGTATTCCGGTCCATACCTTGTTAATTTGTACTGGCATTTTGGGAAGAAAATGTTAAGCGATTTTGTTTAATTTAAAGATCGTCCGAGTGGTTCATTTATTATTCCGGGAAGGATATCATATGAACAGTTGGTACATATGATTAATGCAAAATGTCAGTTTGGAGAAGGTTGAACAATTCAGGAGATTACTTTAATAATTAGTCAACCTGATGGTTCGTGGAATCCCGCAATACTCAATAATGATAGTTTTGAATGGATTTATTACTTTCCTCGTATGTCCATGGTGTATTTACATTTATCGTTGTAGGGAAATACACTCGTTACACAGTTTGAGGATGTTACTCCTTGTTACGGGGGAGTGTTTGATGTCGAGGGTACGTCGACTTCTCATCTACCTAATTTTGGAGAAGGGACATCGAGAGAATCAGCGGCGGATGAGGACGAAGAAAAAAATGATGAAGATTTCATTCCCGGTGAAGATGATTTCATAGACGAGACTTTAGAAACCGAATTTAGATAGATCGGTAAATGAGGAGAGTGAACCTGAAGAAGAACACCCATTTCCTAGTGGTGGTTGGCACATATACCGCGAGATGGGTGAATGGAACTCGTCCAGGATAGATGCGAACGAGTATGCTATTCCACTCTGGAATGGAGACATTGATACCGTACGTTTGGGTACAGTTTTCCGGAGCAAGGAAGAAGCCCAAACGGGTCTAATGGCTTGGAACGTCGATAGGTTGCGGGAGATTCAGACAAATGATTCAAATAAGAAGTTGTTCAAACTGGTCTGCAGATCGAAGGCATATGTGCCTTGTCTGTGGAAGGCTCGCGTGAATAAGTCCAGACGACGTGATGATTTGTGGGAAGTAACTGAATGGACTGACCAACACACTTGCATGGAACAGGTCGACAGAAATGACCACATAAACGTGACCACCCATATGATTTCAAATCTTATAATTAATAAGATTCAGAAGAAAGTGGACTACAACATTAACATGGTCCAGTCTGATGTGAAGAAGTGTTGGAAAGTCGACGTCAGTTACAAGAAGGCATGGCACGACAGGAAAAAAACAATCGATCCTGTGTACGGTAGTTGGGAATCGAACTTAGCAGAACTCCCTCAGTAAGCAAAAATGAATTTCTGTCACTATGTTTATTTATTTATGAAATTATTTTGTATTGTGCAGATATTTTGCCGCGCTTCAAAGAGCGAATCTCAACACAGTTGTAGATTGAGAATTTCAGGGTGGTGAAGTGGCGCAACACGTTCCAGACAGAGAATTCAAATTTGTGTTCTGAGCGTTTGGTCCCGCATTCAACCTTCCAAATGTGCCCGCCGATTATTAGCGTCGATGACATATATTTACGTGGATCTTACAAAGGAAAATTGCTTTTGTGGCCGTAGCAAATGTGCGCGTATGCATTTCCCAAATCTCCCAATAAACCTCCCAACACCTACGCAATAACGATAAACTCCTTCCCGTCGACAAATAAGTATTGCTTACATCCCCTCTTAGGCCAATCGGGCCAAAAGTGTAGTCGGGCCCTGGGCTTTCCGTGAAAGCCTCCGTCTCGAGATTCATACTCAATACCTTCCCATCATTCAAACTTCAGTGCATAAACCCTTCGGTAATCAGAGCACGAAAAAATTTCGCTAACTTAGCCTCAAACTCCACGACTCTCCACAACTCGTCGTTAACTTCGACTGTTATTATATGAAACTCGCCCGAATCTTTATTATAATGCCCATCGGGCTGAAAGCATAGAACCACTTTCCACACCTCGGACATCGGAGCAAACGCCACTCCCCACGACTCCATTTGTTCGCGTACAGAACGATTGACGAGCGGAGGGAAATTATTAATTATTAGCCCACCACCACACGTCGAGTCAAGATGATGTAAGAAGAGGCTGATCTCCTTAAACTTCCCTCCTGAAAACGCTACACACATGTTCGAAGAAGGAGTCGAGGACCCGCTCGTGCGTTGGGTCCTCGACTTGGATGTCTCGACTCGGAAGTCTCGGGTGGGCATGAAGAATGCGGTTTGGGCCGTTATGAAGACGAGGGTGTACGCGTTGAGGCTGTGGGTCACACGACACCATCTGTGGCAAACGAGTCTAGCGTTGTAAATGTCGTGGGTTGGGGTACGGTCGAAGATTTTAGACAACAAGTCGTCTGATAGAACCCCAATATTGATGTTATTGCCATCATTCATCTAGACATTTTTAGTTCAAGGAAAAGTTTAGTAAACATAAACAACATTATAGTAAAACTTTCTCAAAGTATGAATTTTTTTTTCCTCGGAGGAGATAGGGTTGCCAAAAAAAAAAAGAAAAGAAAACCCGAACCTAACAAAAAAAGGTTACCGAAACGCAACTTAGAAAAAACTGAACCGAAATTTTTTTTAGACAATAATAACGGAACCAAACTACAGTTACTACACTAACATGCACGGTTTGGCTCGATTTTGACAAGGTTTTTCTAGACATTTATATTTAATTTGGTACGGTTTGGTGCAAAAACCACACGACACCGAACTGAACAAAATTGAAACCAAACCTGTGAAAAATAATAACACAACTGTACTTCAACGAATTGCACAGTTCGGCTCGGTTTTTCTTCCGGCTCGTCTTTTTTCTTTTTCTCGCCCTTACATAAAACTCAATTGTGCGAAATTTCCTAACAATTACGCTACTCGACCCGTCAGTAGTATTCACATGAAGATTTAATGAAAGATATTTTATTTACCAAACCAACAAAATCAACATGGCGCAAATCAAATTAATCTGCTTTTAACGGACACTAATTAGCAGAAAGCATAACTGAGTAGTTTGAGTAATTCGTATCAACGTCCACAATCTTATAGATATTATATAGAACCTGTTCTTCGCCGGAATCTGATCGGAGAATTCGTGCTTCTGTTTCTCCTCTCGTGACTGCCATTGGTGGCGGCGGGTGGAAGATATTATATACGACCTCCTATTTTTAATATATGTCGTTTTAAGAAGTTGCACATTAATTAAGAATAATTTTTTTGTCAATAATAACCTTATTTAACGAAGGTAGAAATGAATATTTTGAGAAAAAAATGAAGAGTGAATATGAAAAAACGTAATGCATTTATTAGATAAATGAGAATAATAATGGAAAAATATGTAGAAAAGATCCAAAACAAAATTTATTTGACAAATAGTTGATAAAGCTAGAATGACAATTAAAAAAAATAGGAGGGAGTATATTTTTCATTATTTAACTAAAATAATAACAATAAAATATAATTAATATAATAATTAAACAAAATATAAATGAATTTGTGTTATAGAATATATATTTTTTTATGGCTACGTTTTGATTGGAGGATATGGAATTTCTCGATTTTGATTTTTTTTAAAATATAAATTTTCTACTATCAAATGAATTTGCGTAAAGGGTTATAAAATTTATTGTGTAGCATGCATCGATGGTGCTGACTCACGGTTGGTGATGATAGATCTAAATTATTAGGAAAAGGTTACTTGTACAATTTTTTTGTACAACATTTAATGACAGCATGATGTGGCACAATGTAGGTGGTTGAGATGCAAACAAATATATGGTAAAGATTTAAATTAATGGTACTTTTAACTATATTGTCAAATAATGTTGTAAAGTACAATTGTACATGTAGCATTGCCCGAGGTGCCTTTATCTTGTTACACACATGTTCCTGATTAAAGTTGACATTCCAACAAAAAGGGAAAATATCCCAACACAAATAAAATAAATTACAAGAGCTCATGGATTATATTGGAAGCCCATATCAGGTTCCAATCACCTTAGCTACTAAAGCACACTGTTATCCCATCTTATATGCTTTCAAATCAACTCAAACCACAAAGCATATTTGGACACAATCAAAGAAACTAAAGAAAGTGCAGATATATTCTCATAAACTAAAATCTGCTAACCATCAAAATCAGACTTCAAGCAGTCAAAAGAGCTGAGTGGCGCGCGCCTAGTAAATATATATTTGATAATTAGATCTTTCTAAGAACCTAAATGAAAAAGAAAAAAACGAAGCATGAGCGATACCTACAAAATAGATTAGACAAATCTCTCGATGCTTCGTTATCCACACAACCAAACCAAACTGCTCTTATGCATCATAATCTTGTAATCTAAACGAAAGCTAGGTAGCTCCATTTCATCAAATTCCCCAGTCACAAGATTGAAGATAAAAATCGTGCGCCGGGACACATCCGCAGAACTCAAGGCCAACACCTCCATGTACTTCACCCAACCAACCGGAACTACATGGGTTCGTCGTCTGAATGACAAAAGACGTGTATTAGCCTCGGTTGGCAGGATTAGACCAAGTTGCTTAAACCTGCGCCTCTGAGACTCCAGGCAAAAACTGCCCATCTTTATCCATTCCCCATTTTCCGGCCTCATCTCCCAAACTTGCCACGAAAATTCCCCACACGGACGCAATAGAGACAAGTACTTCCCAGTCGACAAATAAATATTCGTCTGGTCCTCATGAATGTGTTGGCTGGGCCTTAGGCCGGGAGTCTCTGTAAAGATTTCTGTCTCCACATTCAGAGTCAAGCCCATGTTGCTACGCACACAGAACCAATGTATGAAACCTTCTGTGATCACCGGAGTAGACCAGAATGCACGAGTAGCCTCGCTCGACAGGTGTCTCAAATCAACGGACCTCCAAGACTTATCCACACCAACGGTTAATATATAACATCTTTCCTTACTGAACTGCCCTGTACGAATAGGCAGAACCACTTTATACTCCATGGAGACTGAAGCATATGCTATTCCCCATAACCGTAAACTATTGACCCCACGAACATATGGTGGCAGAACAAATATTTGCCCAGTCGCGGGATTCGAGACGTAGATATTATCCAAGTTCTTCTTTTCAAATTCCAACATCAAACCATTACAACTAGTAAGAACCAGGCACCTACGTTGGCACCTGAATTTGGATATTTCAGCCCGACCTCCCCGGGCGTGAATTAAGAATGAGTCGGTTTCGTGTTTTTGGGTTCTTAAGAGAAGCCCGTAAGTTGCGTGCCCCAGTTGTGCGTTAATGAAATCACGGTTGTGGATTGTACGGTACCACTTTCGGCAGACGAGCCTTGCCTCGTAAATATCTTGGCCCGGTACGCGTGAGAGGATTTCAAACAACAGCTCCGCCGGTAGAGACTCTATGCTCGTCGGACTCTTCCTTTTACACCTCCTTAGATAATAAGTCCGAGTGGCTCGAGTACTTTTGCCGCCATCAATCTGCGTTTTACATGAAGTTACATATACACACCATCAATTTGCTCTTTACTCTGTAGTCTAGCAGGCAACCCATCCATTTATGTTTCTTCAAATGGGCACATCAACACAGTAAAGGAAAAACAAGGATATTGTAGGGGGACTTAAAAAAATTGAAACTTTACCTAACTCTTCTACCTTAACCAAAAAAAAAAGGGTGTTCTAATTAATGTCCAAATTTGAAAAGATAAAATGAACCCAACACACAAAAACGGCGGTATGTGGAAAAAGATTGAAGCTTTACCTAAATGTATTCTCATTAATAATTTGAGTTAGATGTAAGAAACCTGGTCATCGGGTAGAACTAGAACTTTGAGCGGCGGGACCTCTGCCTTCGATTCTTCTTCCCTAATGTCCGCCGCTGGTATACGGCGGGGGCGCGGCGGCTGGCGGATGACTGATGGTGGGATGTTGCCCATCGAGGAAAAGTTGATTTGATTCGGTGGATATGAATATGATGATGCACGTAAATAATGGTCTAATGATATCCCTCCCTATATATTAATTAAAAACGTATTGAGCCTAGTTGGCAGATTTTCAAGCTTCGGATGCTGATATGACAAAAATCTATACTTCGTAATGTTGTCTTTATATTATTTTTGCTATGGAGTTAGATTTGGTAATAGACATAAATAACTTTACACATATATTCATTAACTCAACACTCATGTTGTACTGACGAAGAGGGTTTAGCGCAATGACGCATACCTCGCTCGGCGTATCCCATATCCCGAGTTCGAGTCACTGGGAGGGGAATTAGGGAACCAGTATTAATCCTCATGTGTGGGTGTATGTGTTAAAAAAAAA